TTTATTTTAAATATATATATATATTTTTATTAATAATTAAAAAAAAAAAGTTATGACCCTACCCGTCCTTTGGCCTGGGAGGGGGAGGGAGCTGTTCTGCAATGAGGGGGAGCCTTGAGGGGAGCCGTGCTGCCTTCCTTCCCTGGTGGTCCAGTGGTGAGAGTGAACTCTAACCTGCAGGTCAGAGTTCACTCTCGCGAGATCTGAGCATTGCCACGGTAACCGCGGCAACGCTCAGAGTCCCGTGAGAGGACCCGGCGGAGCTGCTGGCTAGAGCTCCGCCGGTCCTCTCCTCCCTCACTCCCTCCCCAGCCGGCGGCTACATCTCCATGCCTCTGGGCTGGTGAGGGAGATCTTTGATCTCCCCACCGGCCCATGGAGGCACATAGCAGGGCCGGCGCTCGGATAGCGCTGGCCCTGCACTGGCTGGCAGGGGAGATCATGGGATCTCCCCTGCCGGCATTGGCCCCACGGCCATCGCGGCCCACCTGGCATTTGCCCGGTATGCCCGATGGCCAGTCCGGGCCTGCTGGTATGTATGCACATTTACACATACATACATGGATGCATGCTCAATGCATACCCACACATACACACACTGAAAAAAGATACAAACATATAATCACACTGACAGAACATAGATAACATAATGTGAGGAACTGACTATGCTGCTAAACCTCTTCCTTACCAGTTCACCAGCCTGCCTTTTGCAAATTTATCTGATAACCTTGACTCTACAAGCAATTACGATTACTATCTTTCTAATCCAGTCTCTCATCTCTGCTTAAGATCAGACGGACACTCAAGGCTCAGGGGCTCAACTACCTGGGTAATGAGTGGCTACTTCTGGCAGAAAACATTGCTGATCTGGCTGCTGGACTCCAAACCTTTGTAACATCAACATCAATATCATTACAGAATAACCTGGCACATTCATGGAGACCGTCGGATCAGAGGAGAGCATATCAGGAACAAGCTCTGAAAAGAGCTAAGTGATTAAAGCTCAGGGGAGTATGCAGAGCACAGCAATCCCCAGTGTGAGTATAGCTGTCCCCTCCAATCACGAGACAAGACTACGTGTTGAGGGTCAAGAAGAACTCTTTTAATTAGCACCAGAGAGCTTTCTTTTATGCAGGTTTTACACATACAGTACCGGGTTTTGTGGAACAGACAATCAAACACAATACAATACAGTCAGACACTCCAATTCATTACAGCAAAATCCTCCCCTCTGTCTGTGATATAATTACTGAACACAATGGGCTAACGTAATTATCACAGGCAGGAATACACAGTTTTACACAATATTCATAACTTTAAAAGTATGCATCACATTCACATAAAACATTTTCAGAATACTCCATATACAAACATATGTCAAAATCATACAAATTGGTCCAGTGGTTCAGAAGATAGATGGAAGTCCCTTTTTGACCAACTGCAAGCATGGCTTGGGTGTGGTAAGCCAATTATCTTCAGCATACAGAAAATATCTCTATTCACAACAACAGCAAAAATACATAATTCCTATCATACTGAACAGAACCCCCACATTCAACCTATCCCCAGATAGCTTGGATCTGAGCGCAAAATATAGGCGAACAGCACTCAGATCCTACGAACAGAATAAAATCGCAATGGGGTTAAAGTTTAGCAAGGTGAGATTGAGGAGGGACAAAGCGGCAAGTTTAAACTTGTCTGGCAGTGTCCCTGGGACAATGCCCTGCTGGAGAACAATGGGACAAAATGGGGGAGGGGAAGAGGCACATTTTCTCATGGAATTAAAGGTGTATAAAAAGGGTGTTACAATCCAATGTGCCCAAATAATGTTTATAAAGGGCAAACTCTCCGAGGGGCCATAGTCACAAGGCAGGAAGCTGGCAAGCAGGCCTCTCCAGGACCAAGTGGCGAAGGGCACTTCGTCACACTGAAGATCCTCCTCGTGATCTTCATATGACCATGCTTAATGGGTTTTGGATTTCTCAACAATGTCTGTTTGTTCCAGAATAAGTGTGACTGGACGTTTTACGTCTCTACCATGACTCAAAACCAGCAGGTCATCCAGGAATCCGAAAGACACAAGAACTACTTTCCCGATCCTTTTGGTGGCCTAAATAGTATGAGGATGTTAAGAAGTATGTGTCCTCTTGTGATGTATGTGCCAGACATAAGACTCCTCACTCATCCCCTGTTGGCTTGCTTCAGCCTCTTCTGATTCCTCATCGTCCCTGGGGATCTATATCCATGGACTTTATTGTGGAACTACCTCCATCTAAGGAACACATTACCATTCTTGTTGTGGAACGGTTAACTAAAATGAGTCATTTCATACCAGCTCGTGGTCTCCCTTCAGCTAAACACACTGCTGACCTAGTTATTCGGGAAATATTGCACTTGCATGGAGTTCCTGATTAAGTAATTTCTTACAGGGGAGTGCAGTTTACATCTCATTTTTGGAAATATTTCTGTTCTATTTTAGGTATTAATGTAAATCTGTCATCAGCTTTTCATCCACAAAGTAATGGACAGACTGAGCGAACCAACCAGACTTTAGAACAATATTTGCGGCGCTATATTAGTTACCTGCAGGATGACTGGCTGGATTTTCTACACACACGGCGGAGTTTGCCTATAACAATGCCCAATACTGCTACACTTCTCTGAACCCATTTTTTTGCCAATTATGGTTACCATCCAACCTTTCTAGTGACTCTCCTAATTACTACTTCCATTCCTGCAGTCACTGACTGGCTAACCACCTTACGAGATTCCCAGGAAATTTTGAAGGAGACTCTTTTGGAGGCTCAGGAATGTTACAAAAGAGCTGCTGATAGGCATAGAAAGTAGGCCCTAGTTTATCATGTTGGTGACAAGGTCTGGCTGTCAAAGTATCTCAACCTTAGGATTCCTTATCATAAATGGGATCAAAAGTTCATGGGACCTTTTGAGATCATCGCTCAGATCAATGTGGTCACTTTCCGTCTGCAACTTCCAGATTCCATGAAAATACATCCGGTGTTTCACGTTGCATTGCTTAAACCTTTTCATGAAAATACTTTCCCTGGTCGAGCCCTGCCTGTCCCACCACCAGTCCTGGTGGATGATGAAGATGAATACGAGGTAGAAAAAATTCTTGACTCCAGGATCTTCCGCAACAAGCTTAAATACTTGGTTCATTGGCAAGGCTATGTAGAGGTGGATAGATCGTGGGAACCAGTGGACAATATTCACGCTCCTGATCTTCTTAGGTCTTTCTACGCACAGTACCCTGCTAAACCAGGAAATAGGACATCCAGAGGCTGCGCCTGTAGAGGTGGGGGTGATGTGAGGAACTGACTCTGATGGGTTTCAAACGCTGGCTTACATGCTGCTAAACCTCTTCCCTAACAGTTCACCAGCCTACCTTTTGCAAATTTACCTGAGATCTGATAACCTTGACACTATAAGCAATGATATCAGTGACAACTCTCTTCAGCTGTGTCTGGTTCTAGGCCTATATAAGCTATTTCCCATTCTACCGTTCATTATGCAGCCCAGTTCTGAGCGCAGCAGAGGAATGAATAGCGCTCAGAACTCATGAATGATATGGCTAGTTTCCTCGATATAAAGTCCATTCGTGTCTTTTGTCCCGAACACGAGATGGCGGCCATGTTTTTAGGCTGATAGATGGACAGCGGGACATGGACCTAAAACTCCTGGAACGGGTAACGGCTGAACAATTACATGAATACCGCTCACAGGCTGGTTGTCTTATCCCTTCGTGAACCGAACGGAGACCGCCATGAAAGGGGGTACTTAACTTGTGGTTAACCGCAGCTTCAACGTTCTAATTGGGAACACACGCCAGGATGCGGGTGGGCCTCGTTCGGATGTCTTTTGTAAGTGCAGTTCAGTGAATTATTACACGAACGAGGCCACCCGGGCAGCTTCCCGGCAGTCAACTAGCGGCACGCTCTGCTCATGGGGTGGTCGGCTGTTCGGTATTTTCAAAGGTGACCTGGGTTAAGTGGCGGCACACGTCAAGGGCTGGGTGGTCCGTCGTTCATATACACGAATAAATAGTTATAACTCGTCGGGGAATGTGTTTGCACAGTCTGAATATCGAACAGGGTATTGGGAAACAAAAGGGAGTACTTCTGTAACAGTTTGTAGGTTTCTTGTAACGTGCTCCCTCCTTGTGGAACACTCTGGCAGACACTGTCTGACCCCTTTTCGGTCTGTTTGTCGAGATAACCTGTCAGCGTTGCCATTCTGCTTCCCGGGTCGGTAGGTGTATACTGGAAACAGCCGAATAGGAAAAACCATGCAAATAGGTTTACACTCCTAGCAGTCAAACTGGAACAGCATTGGGAAGTAATCCACTTATCTCCCAGGACAGAGGAAAAACTCCATTAACCACATGGCAGTAACAATACAATAAAAGACATAAAATTACATACAGTTACATTTATTCCATAAAACATAGACATTCTACATATCCCCAGATAGCTTAGATCTGAGTGCACATTACTACTGAATGGCGCTCAGATCACATACATACAGTTCAATCGCCATGGAGCCAAAGTCTTTCATACAGTCTTTCAGTATACGGCTGGGCTCCATGGCATAGCTATCTGGGGTAGCATGGCTTTAACAGTCCGCAGAAAGGCACGAATAAACCTTTCTGCCGGTAAAATAAAAGTTTAAAATGCAGGACCATAGTCTAAAGGGAGCAGGCGAGCAACCAGGCCTCTCCAGTGGACAGTGGCAAGGTTGGTTCCGCCACAGTAGGTGATAGTAAAATTAAACGGTTGTAGGGGGCGTGGCCTGACTGCCGATGGAGTGAGACCTACTGAACCCAAGCTCCTAGGCCCAAACCTGCTCAGCCCAGTTAAAAAAGCGTTAAAAAGCCATAAAAACAACCGTAAAAGGGGAAGACTAAAAGACTAACCACCGCTGGACAGTCCAGTGCAATTCCTTCACAACAATAGCCCGGTCCGATGGATTCCTGTTCACGCCGCATGGCCTCCGCGAGACCAGCGACACTGGCACATCGGTACCTGCCTCCCCAGGATCCAGCATTGCGGACTCAACCCGAGATACGCTTGTGCCCGGAACTCTGGCTCAAATATCAGCAGATATCTGCAAGCATGCTGACCCGCATGGAGAAGAGTGACATGCTAACAGAACTGAAGGCCATAACACGAGAAGAGGTTGCGGCGGTGCGCACCGACCAAACAGCATTGAAACAGCGTGTGGATGACCTGGAGGTAGACCGCCTGCAAAACACGCAACGCCAGGAGGCCACGGACCTGGCGACCACGAGGCAAGGCAACATTTTTCTTGACCTCCACCGACAGATTGAAGACCTCGACAACCATGGCTGGCGTAATAACATTAGGATCCGGGTAATACCAGAGGCGGAGGGAGAGGTGCCGCAGAAGATCCTCATGGGCCTGTTCACACACCTGCTAGGAGACGCAGCACCAAGTGACTTCGGCATCGAAAGGGCACACGGGGCGTTACGAGCTCCCAGACGAGATGGCCTTCCAAGTGATATAATCTGTGCACTGGTGTCATTCCAATTAAAAAAATCCCTAATGCGAGCAGCCAGAGACCAGCAGCAAATAACCTACATGGACGCGCAGGTTTACCTCTTTCAGGATCTCTCCATGATCACCTTGGATGCCTGCCGGGCCCTTAGGCCACTCACCCGCCTATTGCAAGAGAGGAGAATCCCATATAAATGGGGGTTTCCGTTTAGCCTGCAGGCCTGGGTGGGCAACATGTGGCACGTCATCCGCTGGCAGAACGATGTACCCCGTTTTCTCCGATCCGCCGGCTTGCCTGCTATCCCGGTGCCGAACTGGATCCTGGAGGGCCCACCGGCACGAGCAACAGGACCGACAGAGGTAGCACACAACCTCCAGCCGGATCCCAGACCGCAACGGCACAGAGGCGGCACAGAGGCCCAGAGGAGTAAAAAGCACACAAAGTGTGCAGAGGCTGCGCCCCGGACATTCCCCGACCTGCACCTGTTTCGATACTGAACTCCCAGATGGCCGCGCAACAACGACCCAGACTTGGACAGCTACAAGACGGGGAAGGGGTATGTTCTCTAAATTGTTTCCACCGAGCAAGCTAGGGGGAGACACCAGCGGGGTACTAGTAGGTTGGGTGGGACGGGGTGCCATGAGGGGGGACTAGCTAGGTGGGAAGCATGCCGGAAGATAACCACCCTCTGGGGAGAGGAACACCCGGGGACCTACAAGGTTGGGAGGGGGGTAAATGGAGTCTATTTAAGAAATAGAATGTAGATCTGTATGATTGACCTTTGGACCTTTAATATCAAAAGGAGATGTTACAAGTGTCATGTAAATCAGGAAAAACAGGGTGGTGTAATTTCCAGGACAAACAGTCTTTGATCTAACTGTTAATGTAGATGGGATAGTTGGGGTTATCAATTCCAAAATCAAAGGCCTTTTGTCTTACTGTTAACAAAGCATAACTTAGAACAGGATATTGGACCAGTTTGTTCATCCTGAGTTTCGTGTTATCAATAGGGTGTTAATGAGTTTTTCCCAACTTATATTTAAATAACAAATAGCTGCTTACTTCTATTGTGAACCACCTACATCAAACAAGAAATAAGGAATTTATTGTTGAGCTTTTGATCCTCCCAAACCCATCACATGCCCCCAAGATAATTTAGGTAGATGGAGGGAAGATATGGGTAAATGGAGGGAACAACCTCAAAGAGAAAAAAAACTGTATAAATGTAGGCCCAAAATGGCTAGACACAGAACAGTTCTGGTAGGAACTTCAAGGAATGACTACTAAGCAGAGGTCCAGGGGAGACTTCAATATACAGATCTACACTCTGTTGGTAATTATATTTGACTGTGATACTTGGGGTGCTGTATTGTTTAATATCATTGTGTGTTGTTTGGTTTACTCTCACTGTATATGTGCTGTGTATAGGATTATAGAACAGGTTGAGTTATTGCATATACTGTATATGTGCTGTGTATTATACTATAGAGCACATAGTTAATGCATTTACTGCTATATATCTATGAGTGGTCTTTGTTTTGTAGCTTGTATATGAACTGTTTATTATTCTGATGCAAGTTATTAATCAATATATACATTGTGGTTGCTTTAATTGATTATTTGAATATATTTGAGATATTGTATTTGTGGCAAGTGCTGTGATTATTCCATCCTTCTGTGATACACTGTGATTTGTATGTTATCAATTGTTGATTTTTCTATGTTTAATACCCTTTTATTAAACCTAATGTATTACCAGTGAATTTAATCTTTACACCTAATACATTTCTTTTATTACACTTGTCCGTGTGTTTTATTTGTTGCACCTTCCTCAAACAACAGGGACCCTGTGTGGAAGGGTAAACTGTAATTTCTTACACCATTGGACCCCTGTCTGGACACCTCCAGAGGCCAGAGCGCAATTCCTACACACTGCCTGCGAACCGCACAACGATCTCTGCACAAATCGGGGCTCGTGGACTGCTGGAGGGCCTACCACATAGAAGACCCCGACTATACTTATTACTCAACAGTCCACGCACACTACAGTCGTATAGATTACGTGTTCATGGCCCAAGAGTATCTGAACCTACTGCACAACGCAGATGTAGGTTTGATGGACCACTCCGACCATGCGCTGGTTCTGGTACGCACAAGCTCCCCGCTCTTTAAGCCAAGAGAAAGGCAGTGGAAACTGAATGAATCCCTATTGGACGACCTGGAGCTCACCACCACGGTGACTCATAACCTAACAAAATACGTTACAACTAATGACAACCCAGACACTACACTGTTAACGCTCTGGGAGGCTCACAAGTGTGTCATCAGAGGGCACCTTATCGCAGCCAGCAAAAGACGCAAAGAAGACCGGAGGATGCACATCACTAACCTGACAAACCAAATAGGAGACCTAGAAAGGGAACACAAGAGCACTCTGGACAAAGGTACATACCTCTGCCTCACTGGAACACGCAGAGAGCTCAGAGATATACTGTCCCAAGGACTGCTACATACCGCGAGGAAAGCTTCCAGGTATTTTTATGAACACTCTAATAAGAGTGGCAGATTGCTGGCAAAGATGCTCCAGGAAAAACGGAGAACACAACACATCCACAAAGCCCACACGAGAAGTGGAGGCATTACACGGCTCCCCGGGGGCATTCTAAACGCGTTCCGGGAATATTACAGGGCATTATACCACCAGGTCAGACAGAACCAGCTGCAAGACAACACCAGGACCGGATTGCCACATACCTGGAGGACCATGTTGCCCGCAAGCTCACCCCGGACCAGGAAGCCGACCTAGAACTACCCCATACGATCGATGAACTAGCGGAAGCACTGAAAACAAGGAAACCACACAGAGCCCCAGGACCGGATGGACTCCCGGTCTCATATATACGCACCTTCAAGGACATACTACTACCCCGGCTCCTGACAGGCATCAATTCCATACGAAATAGAGCTCAATTCCACACAGACACCCTGATGGCGACAGTCACGATCATACCAAAAGAAGGCAAAGACCCAACAAACTGCGCCAGCTACCGGCCAATTTCGCTGTAACTGCGCTATACACCACACCATCGGCACGCAGACGGGTTAATGGAGCACTGACGGACCCGTTTAACATATGCAACGGCACGTGACAGGGCTTTCCCTTGTCCCCCCTCCTATTCGCCCTCACCCTTGAAACCTTTCTTGAATCGGTCAGGCGAGACGGCAGAATCACGGGACATCGTATAGGCAGGAGGGAGCACCGAGTGGCGGCATACGCAGATGACATGCTCTTCTTCTTGGAACAGCCTAGGATATCGACACCAAACCTACTGGAGGCTTTTTGGAAATATAACGAGGTATCTAACCTGAAACTCAACCTGGATAAATCGGAGGCGATGCCGCTCGCTCGAGACACTGCCCTCCTGCAACACATCCGAACACGATACCCTTTCAAAATGTGCATAACCAAACTATACTATCTGGGCATCTGGCTCCCAAAAGACACCGCACACATATGCCAAATGAATTTCGCGCCCCTTCTCACAACGTTGCAACAGGACATAAAGCGGTGGACGGCTCAGTTCATCTCATGGTTCGGCCGAATAAATGCAATCAAAATGAATGTCATGCCTCACATTCTATACTTATTCCAGACGTTGCCCGCAACCATCCCACGTGAATTCTTTCAGACATTGACGACTACCATCCGACAGTTCGTCTGGAACCAGAGACCAGCACGCATACGGAGATCAATCCTGGAGCGACCAAAAGAGTGAGGGAGGCACAGGACTACCGTCAATCATCACATATTATCAAGCAACGCATCTCCATCGACTAGTCGACTGGCACGCCAGCCCGAGCACTAAACAATGGGTTCACATTGAACTACAACAAGCTCAGGGGAAAATCCCCGCCCTGCTATGGTTAGGAGAAGCAACACAAGGGGATATGCGCACAGGCAACCTGATAATAGAAGCCACACTGAGGGTCTGGTGTAGAGTGCGTTACACCAAGAATCTCACGACATCCCCAACCGGCTCACACCCCTAACTAACAACCCGAAACTAGCAGGAGGACTTAGCCCTGACGATTTAAAGAACTTCGGAGCAACAGACTGGGTACACATACGCCAATGGTGTAGCGAACCGAATCTAAAGACCTTGGCAGAACTGCAGCAAGACCACAGACCAAACAGACTGGACGAATTCCGTTACCATCAGATAAAAGCGTATGTCAATGCCTTGAAGGGCAAAGATCATCTTCATCGCCCATTGCTGCACCTGGAACATATTTGCACAGCCAGGCAGCACCTCGCTCATGGCGTATCGACCCTATACACCACACTTCTGAACAAAGGGGACAAGAGCCCTCTAGGCTTCACTGAGCGATGGGAGAGAGAGACGGAGGTTGAACTAACAGACCTCGAGTGGGGTAAAATCTTCCAACTGACGCACAAAGGATCCATAAGCACTAAATTTCAAGAATCCAACTATAAAATACTGACACATTGGTACAGGACCCCGGACGTCCTATGGCAAGTACACAAATCGATCTCAGGAGAATGCTGGAGATGCGGCGCAGAAGAGGGCACAGGACTACACATCTGGTGGACACGGGCTCACATCGTACCATACTGACGAATGAAACATCGAACGATCAAAGACATCACGGGAACAGAAATCCCCTCCAGCCGCTACCGATGCTGCTAAACACATACCTCTGAAGACATACAAAAAAGGCCTCATCATACACCTGCTCACAGCGGCAAAAACGCTCATACCAACAATGTGGAAAAGCAAGACAATACCCTCTTTTCAACAATGGGTCGATAGGGTAGAAACAATCTACAGCATGGAAATGATGACGGCCTCACTGCAGGGACGCTCGGACAAGTGTGCCCTGACACATGCTGGCACAGGAGGAGGCGGGGGCACTACCGCTGCGGCACAAACTCCAACAAGATAACGCACACCCACCATAAACACCACAATTGACTAAAACCACACTCCTAATCATCCCCCCATCCCTCCCCCTCCCAGAGAACACAGACATACAACAGAGAGGTACAGCCAAAATAACCCACAACAGCCCAAGCTAGACCATAAACAGAACAGTCACCTAGAGGTAGAGAAGAAGGGAAGTCAGACAGAGGAAAAGGGTGGAGAAGCTAGCATAGACTCACATAAAACAAGGAAGGAGCAGACAGGATTAACCGGAAGAGACGACGCGATATTAAACTAGGTAAAGGACTTCAAAACCCAACAGAGACAACAACTAGATCAGACATCTAAAATACTGACTACCCCCCCGATCAGCTCTAAACTAAACGTGACGAACACAAACCAAGAAGACCTAAAAGGACTCACACCACTGCACAAGACGTAGCACACGAATACTCCAAGTGTAGCAAGTATTGGGCCACCTCTTCGGTGCTGAGGGTACTAAAGGCTTCCATCGCTCTCCCTGCTAGCTTCCCCGCCAAGATACGAGGCCATTC